TTCTTTTATCAGTCTGTGAGAAGGCTTCGGTTTTGTTTTTCTTGTATTGTATCTGTTGTGTGTTTCCCCTACAGGCCTGAGAGAAAAAAAATAGGTATAGCAGGTATTCAGTGTTGCATCTGTAATGACAGCAACTATTATTCATTTTTTGGTGGGGTCTCCACACCCTGTAAAAGGCACAAGTCAAAAACAGAGGTAACACAAAAAAACATTAATAACTCCAGCCCACTGAAATAAAGGCCTTTTATTTTTCTGACCCACCGTGAGTGTCTGGACCTGGATTTTTTGGATTGTAATTCTTTCTTCTCACAGACACAGACACAGACACAGGCACACACACACAGACACACACACCCAGACACACACACACAGGTAGACATATAATGGTTTCATTAAGAACAAGTGACTCATCTTCATTAATAAAGCAGCACAATTTATTCAGGCTGAATAAATTACCTCCTTTAAGGTGCGACCAAACCTGTCAGTTACATCGGGTCAGAGCAGCTTTTTAATTTGGAGATGTAGCAAGTGAAAAATGTTTAGTTTTTGACAATGTAGCAAACATTCTTGCCAGGATAGCCTCCACGCACTATTTATTTATTTATTTATTTTTTTTTTCAATAGCTGGTTTCTCCCTTTTATCAGCTCTGTGGATATAAAAGCCATGGTTCTATGAATGAGCAAACTTGTTTTCTCACTGATGGAAGAATACAATATGATGCATTACAGTCTGCAGGGGGCCATTAATTTTCAATCTCTTTCAGAAATAGTGAGACTGGTTGCCTCACAAGCTCTTGAAGTTCTTTTTCACCCTGGGTTCAGCCTCCTGAGTGTTGGACCACAGTTACCTCTTTGGCTCATCAGAGAAAAAACAATGAACCATATCATTCGGTAAGTTAGAATGTTTGAGAGAATAGGGTTTCAGATCATTATTTAAATTTATTCAGAAAATGCACAACACAGTTTCCCAGAGACCAAGGTGCTTTAGATGTTTTGTTTTTTTTGCTTTGTCAAATACTCTGCTTACAAAGACATGAAACTGAAAAGAAGCTCATCTTCACATTGGAGAAGCTGGAAACAAAGAAAGTTTGCTGATTTCTCTTGAAAAATGAAAATAACATTCTTGGATAACAATATCAATTTGAATTGTTACTGTTTTAAATGACTATAAAGTTGATAATTTGCATTTTCTTTTAACCAAACATCCGCAAAACTATTGACAACAGCAACAGCTAGAGCATACAAAATCATTACAGGAGGTATAAAAATGGTTGCCTCCTTGCTTCATGCCCTATAGATCTAATGTAAGGCCACACTTGCCTGCTAGGCTAATTAACTTTTACTCCCTTTTGACAGGTTGACAGCTGACCTCTCACCACATACAGTATGTCATGAATTTCCCCAAATCACTTTATTATAGCTCTTCTTTTTTCTGAAGCAGACATTGCCATATTCATTGTTTCAGCCTTTTTGAACAAATCTTCCTGCAGGTATCCTCAAGGGCAGTGATGCTGATGGGATTTGTTGCTAGAAATAGGCCAAATGCCACACTTGTGTGGGAGCGGATCACTGAAAGCTTGGCCTTCTGCCAGAGAGTAAATTGCCGGGTAATATCATCCCCCTGCGACAAGACAGACCAGTCAAGTACCTCTCAGGTGACTGAGTGCTGCTCTCTGATCATCCGGTCAATACAACAACTGCTATTGTACGGTCAAAACAGAACCTTAGCTTTTCTTAGTTTTAGAGTTTGAATGTAAAACTGGAGAGGGCTTTTACTGCTTCGACTTATGAAAGGCACCAAACATTATTTGTTTCCAGCATTTGAGATTTGAAGATTCGCTGTTTTCCTCTGTTATTCATTCTACTCAGCTAATTAATAGTGTTAATGTTTCTAATCAAAAAAGAATGTAATGCAGTTCTACTACAATTGTGAAAAAAATACTTTAATATTGCTGTTAATGTTCATCTGAGGGGATGAGGAATTGCTACAGAATTCTACAAACCCTGGATAACTGTGATTTAATATTATTCAGGTTATTTTTAACCGCCTAGTTCATCTATTCTGATTTAATGTTATCTGTGCATCAGAGAGCTACATACCTATCACTGCCTATCACTTATCATGCTTATCAAATAAAAAGGGCCAGTGGAAAGTCTTAACTTTTACTCCTTTTTGACAGGTTGACAGCTGACCTCTCACCACATACAGTATGTCATGAATTTCCCCAAATCACTTTATTATAGCTCTTCTTTTTTCTGAAGCTGACATTGCCATATTCATTGTTTCAGCCTTTTTGAACAAGTCTTCCTGCAGGTATCCTCAAGGGCAGTGATGCTGTACTATACTGTATTTATTTATTTAACTGTTGGTTTGACCAAAGCCTTTTTGAACAAAACATCTTTTGGTTTCTCATCTTGTGATAGGGCTTTTTCATCATTTTTTTAATTGACTAGAACAGCATTTTTAAGACCTTCGCTGCTTGTAACTCCTTTGTATGAGGCACTACAATTCTTTAAACCCTGCGTCCAACGTTACGTGTCTGTGAACTGTGAGCCTTTCCATCGAACAGGGTTTTGCATTTCTTTGAATATTTCATCTGGATAGTCTTTAGAAGCCTCGAGTTGTAAAACTGCACACAGGAAAGAAGCAAAGATCTGTGAAGTCTCCTTCTTAGTGTATCAGAATGTTGTTGGTTCTTGTTTCCTACTAATGCAATCATCTTGTGATCCACGGGAACTAAAGGATTCATTGGTAAGTTTATCAACATGAATACAATGATCAATGTACAATAATATCAGCTGTGAATAATGGAAAAAGCTGCAGTTCTTTTCAGTATTAAAAAAAGACGGTACTAGCTTAAAACTAGAGTGTGCCGAGATGCCTTAGCTCATGCAGACACCTTAACTATTAGGTTAATGGGCCCAAAAAAGTAGGGCAGAGACAAAAGCAACAAGAAGCCAAGAAATATGCTCATATTCCTTGACTTTTACACCATGAAGACACTGAGAGACGGGAGATGGCTCATTAGCACTGTGGCTCTTTCTCCAGGAGCAGAGGAGTGATTTAACCCCACTGCCCCCTAATCCACACACACACAGACACATACAAACCCTAACGCCAAGAACAATCACATTACTGTTCTAAAGCCTGCTTCAGGTTTTAACATTAGTCTGACCAGCAGGCAGGTACTCCCCTACCCTGTGCACTCTCTCACTCTCTCACAATTGTTTTCCCTCACACCCTCTGTGCCTCCCATTAGGTCTGCTGGAGCCAGGTAACTCCCATGGCTAGAGTAGATAACAGCAGTCATTATCAGACCCCCCAGCATTTAAACAGCAGCTCGGTATCGATCACTGCAGCGCCTGGTTAGAACTGCCTGTCTGCGCGGTGCCAAAACGGTCTGGGGACTAGGTCTACCCCTAATCCCCATGACAACAAGCATCTCAATGTGATGTATTTAAAGACGGCCATCTCATTCTCAGCAAAGTCAAACTCCACTGTGATGTATATTCTCATCTTATCTGAGAAACATGAGCCACCATTACTGCAGAATCACAGACAGAAAATCATGCAGCATCCTAATTAAGAAGATTACATAAATGATCAGATTATTGGAATAGTTCCCAATCAATTAAAGCAACATGCAATGTACATAATGACAGCGGTGGACCAGGCCTGAGCGATAATTAAATTATGCCTACTTTTAGCAGAGTCGTACTGACATCATACGATTAGGGATGTACTAATCTAATATAGCACCTTGCAGGGATCTGACATGATGTGAACAGATCCAGTTTCTTTTTCAGTGTCAAGGTTTCCATTATCAGCTGTATTTATTCTGCCATGACAGGCTGCTAAGTGTTTCAGTGACGCAGCAAACTCCGGCCTCATGTTATCTTACATAGAAGTGACTCAAGCTGCAGTTAGGTAGATTATATATTACATTTCTCGATCAGATGTGCATCCCTTGCTCTGAGCACATTATGCTTTGTCACATTTCTGTTCTTTGGTTTGTTATTTTAAAACAGCTTTTTGTTTCATTAATATGAAAACCTTGACCTCATGTCCTTGTCCTTGAGACATTCTGAGATATCTAATTTGTCATATCATGTCCTACCATTCATCAGTCCTAGACAATATCCTTTGTTCATGAAATCTTTTCACAAGAAGCTTGTGTCTTTTCTTATCTCGTCATAAATTGTTGAAGGCTTTAACCAGCGTGGCTTCTTTGTGCTGCCACCTTTTGACTGAAACCCTTCTTTCTCATCCCGTGCACTCGGCTCTCCCTCAGTCGCAGCACATTGTTCCGAGCTGAAAGAAGAACCTCTTCCCCTTGAGAGTGAGGCCCGGAAAAAAAAGAGGCTACACAAGAAGGAAAATTTCCTTGTCCTCAGCTGCGCGACTGGAGAGTAATAATGTACAGCAGGAAACAGGATCACGTTTCAGGGCTGGACAATAAAGCGAAAAAGGCTAACCAGGAGGCAGAAAGAGCTGAGTTGGTGATTTACAGTGTGTTTGCTTGTCTTTGCACAATGTGTTAGCATGCAAACAGGTCAGATGAGGACAGGCAATATGTAACACCGCAGTCCTCTTCTATTGACGCAGAGTCATCACTGTGCACAGAAAACGGACTGTCGCTCGATCAGTTGCACTCAGACAGAACTCAACACATTAAACTCCAGCCAGCTAATGCCATCTGAGGGCTGTCAATGTCACTGCTAAACGAATAAATCAACACACATTGACACATTCGCCTGACGTGAGTGAGCGCCGCAGCTTTCTACTTTCTAGAAAATTGCTCAAGACGAAGATTCACACAAGAATTTGCCCTTTGATGGAATTTCGCCTTGTGCTGCTCGCCTTCATAGGAAACCACAAACAAATGCCAAGAATTCTACACAGGAGTTTTGTCCAAGTCTAATTTATTGGATGTCAGGCTGCATGAATGTTGAGTCACGTTTGTGTGAGTGTGCGTCATTGTTCCAGAGATGACACGTACCTTGACAGCAGTTGTGACTCCGTCCTCGGTAGTGCTCTGGCCATTCTGTCAAGAGAGCAGATGTATGAAACGGTCAGTGTGTATGTCAGTGCACGGATCACATGTATATGCGTTCGTGTCAAGGAAGGAGAAAAGGGAGGCAGGGAGAGATACAAGTGGATATTTGCAAGACTGTGTGGGTGGCAGCAGTCCACTGCACTGAGGCCAGCACACAAATGCGCATCCTCTGTCTGTCTGTTCTCCCCTCCTCCCCCCCCTCCGGTAGGTGAGTCTTGTTGAAAAGGGGTAATCATTGTTACTTTTAAAACAATGGTTTGCTGACGGCTATTGTGTAAATCAACATGTTGTTCATGCGGCAGAAGTGGGCGGCTGAATTTTGAACATACGGAGGCATTTCAGTCAGATTAGATGATTAGATGCATATCTCATTCTGTTGCACACAAAAATAGAACAACAAGGAGAAGCAGAGGACAGAGAAGTATTTGTGAGGCACCTGTGATGTAATGTTGAAAAAGCAGGGGGTATTATGATGTCAAGTCAAATTAGGATCACTTGTCATTACCTATGTAAGTGCACAGAGGCCAGACAGACACTGAATAAGATGGATTGTCTGCCTGAGTCACGGCATTTAGACATTTGATGCCTGATAGCATAAGGATCACATGACTTAACATGTTAGAAAAGGAAGGAGCTTTATAACTTTTTCCTACTGGATTCCAGGGGACTTGCACTGAGAGTTTGATACAATACTCTGAAAACAAATGTTTGGGTTCAACAACAAAGAATTATCTTAACAGTTTGCATTAATCTTTATGAGTTCTAACAACATCTAATGAAATTATGTTCAACTAACTAACACTACTGAGTGAGGGGAATTAGCCTTTTCTCAACAGCTAAATGTAGTTTTAATCACCACTGCATTATAATAGGTAGGATAATCACGTCTTTAAACTGATTGCTCAAAACAATATTGAATTATTCCAAAAAGATATTGCACATTATTTGAAGACATAAATGGTCAAGCAAATTAGTTGCGTTGCCTCATGTGGTGGCAGCAGTTGCAAGACACAGTTGACAGAGTGCTCGCTTTTGGTCAACATCATCCCGTCTGTAGCTGTGATTTTTACATACAACTGGCGTCAAAGTTTCTCTCCAGTTCCTCGCTCATTATGGTGTGCACACGTGCATGTCAACAAATTCTCATTGTCATTGTTGCTTAACTTGAATCTTCAGAATCTTGTATTTGCAGAGTTTGACACTAAATGGCTGTTTCTAGATTCACCTGTTTGTGTGTGCACTTTAAATTCAAATTCAAAATATTCTGTAGTTTTCAATAAGGGAGAAGTTCCTGTCATTTTTACATGAAAAAAACATATCAGGCAAAGCTGAGTATTTTCAAAGTATCTTGAAGCATGTGGGACAAAGATTTTAAAAATAGACAGAATTGCCTGAAACCAAACCTGGAGGTGCAAATTAATGTTAGAGTGGAGTCCTAGCAATTTAGCATGGCACTTCTATAGATATGGGTAAGACAGGATTTTAGGAAGGAAAATTCAAACAATGTTCTTGACCAACAGGAAGCAGTCTTATCAATCCATAATCAATTGATCTCTAGGATGAATGATGTACAGCATACTTATTTCTATGCACTGATAAAATGACTTTTTAAAATTTTCTTACCATGGAATCATATTTATACTTTTACTTATATTCACCTGTTGAATGTTATCCACACAGACACAGGCTTGTCTTGATGACCTGGACATTGTTGGGAAGGCATTAATTGCCAGAAGTCTTTGTCATAGTGCCTGTTGCTAGCTAAAAATATCTTTCGGTTAAATTAACAGCAATTAATTGATGAATCGTTAACATCCCAATGTGTTTTTTAAGAAAAGACTAAAGACAAAAATCAATGCTGCTGAAGTCTAGACACTCACGTCTGTATTCTGAAGAGTTCCTATTATGGGTCACACGAAAAGCCACTGCATTTCCCATAATGCAACTGCACAGTGTCAGATCTTACCTTCATGCTAAATGCCCAGGTCTTTCAAACTTCCCTCGTCCAGTTTGTAATCCAGACTTTTTGGTACAAATTTACAGCCATCAAGCCAAGTTGTTTTCACAAGCTGACTACTCCTCTTCTACCGAAGGTTGATGTTTTATTAACCTGAACATGGAAAATGGCCTTTTCGTGGTGAATACATGATCATAACTAAATCCTTCCAGTGGCTCCGGAGTCATGTGTGGCCAAGTGTGAGGACAACTTAAATAACCTCCTCTCCTCCCTTTCCGCTTTATTTTTCCATTACAGAGGGGTGACCCTGAGGTTGTTCACTTCCTCCATGCCCTCTTCCTTTCTGTCAACACAATGACAAGCGGTGGCCTTAACAATCAAACACTAAATAAAAAGGGAATAGTGTCCCGGGAGGTACAAGGAGGCACAGGCAGTAATAACGGGGTGGCTTTGATAGCCTCTTGTACTGATGAAAAAAAAAAAAAAGACCTTCTGAACAGAAAGAACACACACTGCAGATCTAGTTTACTGTTCCTGTAATACCTCACAATATATTCTCTACAAGGATGAATGTTTTGCCAACTGAATGTACATCCTTATTTCCCGCTTTGGAGCAAACTGTCATTCTTTGATGCTTTATTCTTTAAGGCCAAAGGAGTCATAGCGGTTTTTCCGCGACAAGTTTCACTCCAGCAGCAGCTTTAAATTGGATGGGTGCTACAACTCAGGACCTTTTATACAAACCTATGGTTCGTCTGGTTGGACTTTAATCATGATCTCAAAGGAGGATATTTAATTTAGCCAAACAGTGCCAGTCATAAAAGTTGTAAACGCCGCAATGTGAGGTGGCATGGGAGGAGTCAAGAGAAATGGAAGCAATTTAGTGGCAAGGCACAGTTTGAAATCACGCGCAGATGTGTTCAAGAAAAGCAGCAGGAAGAGCTGTGCATGTCGTCACTTTGCAGGCAAACTTAATGAAAGTCCCCCCCTACCTCACTCCACTTTCTGAGTCTTCCCTTGTTTAGGTGCACACAGTTAGCTTCGTTTAACCCAGCACGGTGATGTCTAATGGTGGGAATCCTAAGTGCGTGAGTTCAACTATCTGAGTTTGTGTGTGTGCGGTCAGCATTGTCTTCCTGACATTGCGGCTCAACACATTTCAACCTCATTAGCTCTGCATGGCTGATCCAGGAGGCCCAGTTAATGGTGCTTTCCCTCCCCTGGGCTTCCTCAGCGAGTGCGCAGGCATGTACACACACAGACACACACAGACACACACAGACACACACACAGTCACACAAATATGCTCAAAGTCAAATTCATTAAAAGCCTAATGTGACTTCCAAATCAGGGGAATTTATATGAAGAATTGCACTGTTCAAATACAAACAGAACCAGAAATATGCACAAGTTTAATGAGGGCATTTTACAGGCCACAAGGATGCTGTAAATACATTTACAGGCCAACCTAGTGAGAACTTTAAAGATCTCTCAGGACTCCTATATGATTACACAAGGTAAACAATCTCAGAGCACTGATGGTCTTTGTGATAGATGTGTTTTAACAGCATGATTAGAGTAGCGCCTTGTAACTAGGCAACTAAGAAATACAATAACCATACTTCTCTTCTGTGCCGGGGATACTATCTGACAAAATGTTGTATTATCTCTTCTGCCAGCGAGTACTGGCAGCTTCTGGGCAATGCCAGAAAAGCAAGAATAGCTATTTATATACATCTTTTTTAGTTTTTGCCAAATGGTTTATCCCAAACATCAGCAGTTAAACCTGCACCACTGCATACACGAGCAACTGCGGCTGGACAACAATTGTTGAGTGGCAGTTTAACTTTTAAGTTCAACAGAATGAGATCTCCTGTTCTCAGAGCACCTACCAAGCCGAGGGCTGTGTTATCACATGCCTACCCTCCTCCATTCCCACAGCCCTGCTCAGGTGTTCCACAGGTCACACCCAGATTAGCTGCTTGCTAAGTCTGTGAACACACACACACACACACACACACACACACACCCGCACACACGCACACACACACACACACACACACAAACACAGAGAGACTAAGGCACGATGGTAAACTGAACTTGGGCACACACCCAAAAGTCCTTGATTGTATATTGCTGACCACGCCTGGCAAGCAAACATGGTACACATTCCAACTGTTAACCCTACTTTCTCCTACACTTCTTTTCTTCTTCTCCGCCACCATCTGGCTTGCTCAATCCTGCTCTGTAAGCTCTGGCTTGTGCTGTCCTGTTATATGAATACGGACAGTTTTACTTTTCAATTTGCACTGTTTTATCCATTGTAGTTCGATTGTTATTTTGAAATACAAAGAGGGCACATAAAGTACTTTAAGTGACAGTGTAGAATGGTTAGCTGAGCACATTCAAGAGGCAGATTTGGGTCCAGATCTAGACTCAAATACAAAGACATCCAGACTGGGAATACAAATGTAGTGCAACCTAATTATGTCAACTTGTGAGCCAGATTCACTCACTTGTCAACTTTCAGACTCTAATAGGCACCAAAAATGGGCAGATTCAGAACCAACCAACGCAAAGATAATAAAAGGCTGACAGCATGCACACTAAAGGAACATGTGTTCATTCTAAAAAACATTCAACAATTTTAAGTGTCATATCAAGCTGCCGACTTTATATTTGTGCACCTACACATACAGTCGCCATAATATAATATGCAACTGCACTATTGATGTATAACATTTTGTGATTTCAAGATCAGCACAAGAGGAACAAAAGTTACAACCAAGTTTCGTGTCTGGCACAGGAGGGATTCTTTATGAAAAGGTTTGGATCCATATCAGTACTGGAAATCTACAATAACTAAATATACTGACACAGGCATGATTCAGAACTTTTGAAAGACCTGCCGCAACCTAGTAATGACACTGGCCGATGCAGGTGGTAGTGACTCAGCTGGGACAGGATGTGCACATTTGCTGAAGCGCCTTTATCAGAGATGAATCACTGAGCACAAGTTCATTCACAACAGATACGGCCCTGTGATGAATAAAACAAACCAAAAAAAAAAAAAAAAGGCTCAATCAAACCAATATCTTTGAATTGCTCACATTTTTCTATCACTTGCTTTGCCACAGGACAAAAGGCAGTTTTACTGATTTCCATTCATGACACCTTCTTGGCTTCCAAACATGTGTACTTGTATAACGAGCGATGGGGAAACAGACTTCTCATCAGCTGCTGTGCCAAAGCACATCATCATCTCCTGCATGTGTTTAAATTCATGCAGATAAGAATAGCAGTTTTGGGATACACGATGGGTTTTTATTTTCCATCTTTTATTGCACAAATCATCAAAAAAGTGCACCTCTCTGCATGCCCTAGCCATCCATATGACTACACTCCCTTGGCAACGTGTTCCCTGGCCTCCACTCTCTGTCAATCTTTCTGCTCCATCAATCTGAGCCCAAAGTCACTCGTCACTGCCATCAGGAACCAAAGTGTGCAGCTGGCTAGTAGGTTGGTGACAAGCGATATATGACAAGGATTCCATTCTGATTGGCAGCGATTTGTGTGATCAAATTAATTACGGATGCTGGATTTCAGGGGGCCGATAGTAGTATAAGAGAACAAAAAAAACTGACTTATATGTTGATATTAAACCCATGCATTCAAAATATTTTTTAATCAGCAGTCACACAAATTTGGTTTATGGCGTTGTGACTATTACACATACTAAAGGCAGGGTATTTTCATAGTTTTAAACTTAGCACTCTTCACAGGCTCAGCACCACCATCTGTTCGACTGTGATATGCTTCTCAGCCAACTCACATGCTGCAGAATACTGTAAATAGTGAGGTCTGCTGAACAAACTACGTCACGATGACACCGTTTATTGTTTTTTGTTAGATTACCCAAAGTTTCTCATTTTTTTCTTATATGCAGGTTTTTACCTACATGGCTCAATATGGGAAAACTTGTTAGCTTTCCTTTGATATTTTATTAATGAGGGCTCAAGTTTAATGAGCACTTTAAAAAAAAAAAATATATATATATATATATATATATACACACACTTTTTCATTCATGTTTTTAGCATTTCCTCAAATTCTTTCCCTTCTAAGTTTAATTTCCTTTCCCATCAAACCAGAATGATTGTCCCAGACAGGAGGGAGAAGAATCTGCCTCATTTTTAAATACTGATCTCTTGCAAAGCTGATTGAGGACACTGTTTAATATTGTGCACAGAGCTTTTAATTAGCGGTATCAGGCACACAAAAACATGGGTATCACATGCTTGCTTCACTCGCATAATTGGCATACTAATTCAAAACACAGGCTAGCTGCACAACCATGAAGTATTATCCTATAAGCAGGGAAGGGTTTTGTTTTCTTTTTCTAAACAAGTGCAAGCAGGTGTGCAACTGGTTGCTTCTACCAACCCTGTATCTGCTCATCATAACAACAATGTGATTGCTGCATATTCATGAATAAGCAACCAGTCTGCTCAAGGAGCACTTCAAGTTTTCATGAATAATGTTGCATCTCGACAATAAAAATAGCTCTGGACAAGACTAAGGCCATGAACCTCTCTTCTCTTTCTCATTCTTACCCGAATTCTACAAGTGCTGAGGGGCATTGTAAAAACCACAGGCACTCGTGTTGTATGAAACATGTGCAGAGGACAGCGTGCACTTGTTCTGCAGCCTATAATATAAAACTCTAACTTGTGCATTATTTAATTTTAAATCTATCACTGAGACAAATGAGCATTCTAAGTTTTTTAATCGGTCTCCATTAGCAGAGGAATCATTGTTCTTTCTCTTGTATGTTTATTGCCTTAGAGAAAACCCAGGAAACCACTTCACAGGTGAGAGCAGTGACAGAAGTGGTGAACATGGATATTAGATAACACACTGGTCTGTGGTTTTGTGCTTTGACATGGAGCTGCCAGTGGGCTTCAGTGACAGACTAGAAAGTGGAGTTTCTCTAAGCTGAAGCTACTTTGGGGATCCAATTCAAAACACTCCAATGGAAAAGTTCTAATGAAGCATTTCTCTGTTGGGTAAGGCTGCCAATCATTAACTTTATTTGGCCATTTTTTGACATGATTGTTTCAAAGCATTGGATATCAGAGAGGAGAAACAAACTCACATGGGCTGGCTATTCATCACATTTGATTAAAAACTCACTTCATTCACAGGACCCAAGGTATTAATAAAATATCAAGTCGGTTCCCCCCCCAAGGTCTGTGCTGCCAACAAGCAGGTCGTCAATCATTTTAAGTAACTTTACTCTTAATCACTTCCACAAAGTGGTGACTGCTGAAAACCTTGGATGTGGGAATGATAAACGTACACGTTGTCTTTCAGCTTTACCTAAATGGATTGAGCAATATTTGGTGCATGCCCCCCGAAAAAAACAGAGACCATGCAATATCGACACATTCACCTTCTCATTACCTCTGTTTCAAGCTGCACGAGTTCCATAGTGGGCCACGGTTCCGCGATCTGTGCAAGAGGCATCTTCGCAGTATTTTCAGTTTCCCGACACCAGCTTAAAAAAATAAATGTTTTTTGGTCTCCCCAGATTTGCCGCTCCTGTCAAGTACACTTCCGAGCCGCTCCCCGCTCAAGTCCCAAGGCTAGTTAGTGCAGATATATCAGCACTTTCCAGTGCACAGAGAGGAAGACGCGCACACAGGACGCCACAGCCAAGCGCTTTCTTTTAACACACAATAGTAATCCTTTGATTCGACCCCGGCGTCGTTTGGCGACTTGTGCGTAAAAATGTTGAAAGTGGGGAAAATCCTGCAGGAAAATAGTCAAACACCCGCGTCCCTTCCAGGTAAGCACGTTTTCTTCTCAGGATTTGGGTTTTTGACAAGCGAGAGAGAGAGAGAGAGAGAGAGAGAGAGAGAGAGAGAGAGAAGGGGCCAAACAGTATGATCCAAGCTCCTCTCACGGGGGCTGTGGGGGAGTCTAATGCCAACCTCAAGGATTTAGTCAGAGTCCGAGCTGTGTTTGTAATCGATGTCGTATGAGATCTGTGCGTTCTTCCTCCCCGTGTGCTTGTGATTTCTCCCGGTCGGAAAGGGAAGACTTCCCCTCTGTGCGCCACCTTCCCCAACAGTGTGCGATACGCGCAGAGACCTCAGTGTGGCTCTGTAGTACGACGAGCTTCAACTCGAGCTGTTATTGGCAGACTCCAACGGGATTTCATCCAGCCCCTTTTTTTCTACTTGTTCCGCCCAAGTGTGATCGTGCCATCGCCTGGCGGAGAGCTGAACTGCAAATACGTAATGCAGACTGAAGGCTTGCTATTAATGAAGGGCCTGCATTTTTCTTTCGTTCGTTCTTTCTTTCTTTCTTTCTTTCTTTCTTTCTTTCTTTGATGCTTCTGGTGCAGAAGAGCAGCAGAAGACCCTCCAGAGCGAAATCTGTCAATCAGCAAAAGCTGATTCATGGTTACATAAAGTCTCCTTTAAAGTGAACACATGGACCAGCAGGACACAGCACAATGCAGTTGACTTTTCCTGCCTGGTGTGGCACTGCTTTCCCCCAGACTAAATGGTTTTTAATTACAAATGACCATATTTATTTAGACCCTTAAGTCCAATATCACCACTTCATCTGGGTCTAAAAATGGCACTCACTGTTGCAAAAGTTACATAACATGTTTGATTACACAATAAATCTGATGTAAAGAACACAAAAGAGGAGACACTGGGTATGTCCAGATGCCGTTCTGGACGTTTTACTGATGCACAGCTCTTTTCATTGAGAACAGCTCTCATGGAGGTCCTTGTAATCTTCAGTGATATAATACACCCCTCCACCCCTCAACACTTCGCCGCTTCATTCACTGCCGAGTGGATTTTTTTATTTATTTATTTTTTTTGCTCTTGGCCGGCTTTGGTTACTATTGGCAACTGGAGGGCAAAAAAAATGCCTTGCTTTTGCGCATTTGATAAAAGATTTTGATTCAAATTAAGATGAAGAAAGCATGACATTTCATAGAAATACAAAGGGAAGGTTTAAGTGGAATGGAAAATGGTTTTATGTTTTGCACCTGTGTTGTGAGTGGATGTGATGTCTAACTGTGTAAATGCAAAAATGCTGCTGCTGCTGCATGGATAAAACCTGTTTGTCATGCCAACCTGGAAATACCAGAGACATGTTAGAGCCACAGATCTGTACTGCAGAAGGAGACACGTTCTTGCTTTTTTTGGACTTTGTATCCAGGCTGCCGCTTTGCAACACCTCGCCTGTTCTCTCAAATAAACCTGCCACATTCATTCATGTCTGCTGCAGATTTATACATTTATGAATCAAAACTAAATGCATGTTCCCACACCCATTTCCACACACAGGTGAGTGAGACAGTTGAGAAAGAGGACATGCTGATTTCCTTTTGTTCGTGTCAGATATCATAGTGCAACCAATTTATTCTCTAACAAATCCTATCAAAGGGTGGTCAGAAGGTGAGATTACCCTTCCCCGGTGGAGAGCCATTCATCATGCTCACACTGTACGTAATATACAAAGTTGCTGCTATTCCAAAGATTGCATTAACTCATCGATTTGTCTCCGTGATGGGAAAGCAGCTGCTCAGGGAAAACTCATGGCATCTCATAATGCCATATTGGTGTTTGTTATTTAGTGCAGCCATACGTTACTCTTCACTTCCCCTCCCATCCTCTCTCCCCTCATTTTTCCCTGTCCATTACATGTGGGACAACTGCCATTCTCTCCTCCCTCACCCTCTCCAAGGACGCCGACAGACCGATGTTGGACGTTTTCTTGCTGTTTATGGCTCCTCGTGAATGATATGATGAATTCCAGACTTTTAGCGTGAACTTGCAGTGCAAGTGAAGTGTGTAATAAAGGCATTTTATAGAAGGAAAAAAACAGAGGATCATCCAGAAGGGTGACAAGTCATGTCAAGAGACCTGAGAATAAGTCGGGGAGGCTCTTTTTTTAACAGGGCTGCTTATCAAAAATCAATAGATTGTAGGATGTGGGCAGGAGGAAAGAGCATTTTGCAAACACACAACTCATCTAAAACTAGAGTAGTACTGACTGGGATGTACAGTATGCTGCTGGTCTATCTTCAAGGAATTTCTTCTTTAGCTCGTGATGCTCCAGTGACATCACAGGTGGCAGCGATGACTCAGAGGTGTCTCCCGTCCAGTGACTCCAGGGATACCCTACCCCCCACCTTCGACTAGAAAGAAGGCATCATGGGAAATATGACTCGGTCCGGCTTGACATGCAGGTGCAACAGAGCAACACTCCACCCGGAATTGTTAGTGTATAGACACAGGAATGAGATGTTGAGTTGATGAAGATCGAGGTGGCCCAAAAAAAGAGACAGATGGCAGATTAGATCCCAAACGGACAGCACGAAAATGAGGTGAACCGATGTGAAAATGACACTGTCGTCTCGCCCCATTTTCAGTTCGAAAACCACAGAAGTGGAGAAGAGGGAGAGCAATGTCGAGTATGCCGAAGGAAAAAAGCAATGAATCATAATATTTATTTCCCCATGCGGCTGCAGATGGAGCAGTTAAAATGCAAATACGTGCAATGCTCCGACTGGGAAGTGTCAGTCGGCTTTTAAACAACATCTCAGGATTTATCTGCTCATTTACTGCTGTTGTTTTTTCTGTGATTTCTTATTTCTATTAGTTCATTTCTCACACTTTCACACTGCGAAAAATGTCTGAAGGTTTTTAATCAATATGTTCATTTGCACAACTACTGTATGTTTGCTTATTTCTACGTAGTAAATCTTTACCCGTGTGCCTTTTAATTCTGCTGTAATTGTATTTTTTTTATATTATATAAAAAATAAAGCTTTTCTAAAAATAAAATAAAATAATGACAATTAATAAATAATATATATATATATATATGTATATGTATATATGTACATCATGTTATATTTTTTAAAAACAAATAATGAGATTATTTTTCTTACTTGGTGTAATGACTAAACTGTGTGAAAGCAAGTTAATTTACATAAAGTGGAACACACCAAATTGTAAGCTCAGACAGTATATTTTGCATATGTCAGAACTACCTATTATACCTAAAATAAATTATGATAATAAGTGTTAGATAATTATTCCCTTTCCTACCCAACACTGTAACAGTGAGTAAACCTGCAGTGCATGTAAAGCAGATTAAAAACTCAGTTTATGCGTGGAGCAAAAAATGTTTAGTTAATCCAAGGGATTAATTTGTTGATGCAACAGAGGATCTGGAAATTGACTCAGTTTTAAGACAAGAGCCTCCCAGCATTGAAGCAACACACAGATACTGCAGAGATAAATGCAAATGCTAATGGATGTTGTTTCCCTACTAACATGTCCTACATTCAGTAATTGTCATCTTATATTCAGTTCCATTTCTAAATGTGATACTCAAAGTGTGTCAGATTTCAGTGGAAACACTGTCAGACCTCGGATGATAGCTCCATTTTAACTGAGCTGACTGAGCACATGTCTGCAGTTCAAGGACAGTACCAATAGTGCTAATTAATTAGGTGCTCAATAATGGAGCAAGGGTAATTATCCAATCTCTGCTGACTGAGAGTAGCAGAAGAAGATGACAGTGTAATGATTCAAAATTCAGCTCTGGCTCTGTGCCTGCCAGGGATGATGAGCAAAAAGCGTTATTGTGTTTCAAACATCAGCGGAACCGTCATTCGTCACAGGGATGGCTAACAGGACAAAAAGGCTGCAGAAGGACTGGAATGGTAATATTGATTGGTAACAGAAGTAAAGAGAGTGAAAGCATGGGAGAAAGGGAGATAGTTGCAACACAATTTTCCACAGTGTTGTGCTCAGTCTTGCTCCTCTTTGTCACAAACACTATCCTGTGCAGCGGCAGCTCTTAAAGCAATGCAGCGCCTGCTCACTATGTAATCTTCTGACTGTAGAAAATGGGTGTGCTGTCGAGCATGAACAGCATGTTGAGGCCTGAATTTGTATCTCAGGTATTTGGGCTGGGCAAATAGAGACACAAAGCCAAGCACAGTATCTTTATAAAGAAGCACCTCGGAGACCAAGGTCAGAACAAACAAACAGCAGGAACACATAATCATGGCATTGATTTTTCACAGAGAAATGGATCAACCTATTAAAGTGTTAGGAAATTGCAAGCAGAGGGTCTACAGATTCTTTTTCAGACTGCTTAGCAGGAAAATTGCTATTTTTGTGATATTATCAATAATATGAGCAATCAAGCTTTCTATCGCTAGAATAAAACCACTGGGTTTATACTGCATAAGAGCACGTAGTGGTACTGGAGACTTTAGGCAAGAACGAGCAAGAATTTTGCAATCCACTGATTTTCAATTATCTTGGATCAGACTTGATTTGTCAGGCTAGTGAAGTGATGACATGTGCACAAGTTCAGTTATTTTCCTCTCACACTTTCAGCCGAGAACATCTCGATTCAACAGATGATCAATAGTGATTCAGTCAGCATTGATGATGACATTTCCACCACCCCTGTCTTCAGTCCTGGAGGCTGTGATACGATAAGACCCTGCAGTTTTCCTGTTTACTTCTATGATAACATTTCACAACATCTAATGAGTCACACCATGTAGATTTAAGTTAATTATAAACAATAACTCAATCTCACATAAGCATTTATCTCCAAAGAAAATACAGGGATGCATTTTTTGCCAACAGCGAAACAATTTTTCTCTAAATATTTGAAGACAAGCATGAAATATATATGTCACACACATACAGATGGAGTGCTATTTCCCTGCTGAAATATAAATTCCACTTTCCCCATGCCTCTGTCTCTCTCTCTTTGTTCAAAGAGAATAACAGCAGGGGGTGCCAGATATCAGAGGGCAGCTCTTTGATGACTATAGCCCTTTTCATCAGGCCTTGCCCTTTACTACTGCCAGCATTTGTTGGGAACTGCTGGAAAAGTTACACTATGAGTTTCTGGAGCAGCTCACAGCTTCAGGTTCATTCACAAAATAACTCAAAGGTGCTCGACTATGAAGCCATAATCATGAATGGAGAACACACTGATTCAAAAATCAAGTACATATATTGTGTGACAGAAGTGTTTTGACTCACAGTCTCCTTTAAGAGCTTGTGTTTAATATTGAACCCTTTGGAGGCGATGATTCAACACAATACGAACTTTGAACTCCAAATCACTGGTTGATTGACTATGATACTAAATACTTGTGACTGTGAGAGAGCAAGACTGTGTGGATTTTCACTCCTCAACATACCATGTGACAAAAACCACAAATTCAGTTTGAGGCATTCAAATCATCCATGTGTTCATGTTGGTCAAAAACTGCTTATGACGATAATTTATTGTGAACTTATGTCCTCCAGTAGCAAGTTTCTGATATAATTTATGTTAATAATTCTGCAAGCAGAAATATTACCGTATAAAATCTGGAGTTAATAAAATATTGATAAAGTTAGGCAGCGTTTTCTTATCTCCAAGCATACAAGTCAACAGTGCTGAGGAGGATAAAGGAGGGAACATTTCTAGGAAATTCTTAGGAGAGCAGGCAAGATAGATAGATAGATAGATAGA